CATATATTTGTTTGTTCTTAGAATGTCGTATTTTATATATAAAGCAACCCGATTCCTTTTTAGCAACAACCCACGAACAGGCATCCATATTTCAAAACAAGAGCCATATTGGTGTCTCTCAGTTACTAGCACACCAATATGATTCTCATTACCTATACAAACTTTTCTTCTCATTACCTATACAAACTTTTGAAAAACTCGGCAAATTCAACTGGCGTCACTCGGCAATTTGACCTTCGACACTCCCCCAATCCATATCCCTTCGCAACGGCCCTGTCTATGGGCTTTATTTTAATGTAAAATTCAAAACGAAACTCTACGTAAAACGTTTTTAAATGTGAATTGAAATTAACTGCTTTTTGCCGAATATTTATAAACTTCTCAACTCGAGCTTCAACTTATTACTCGCACTTTGAAATGAAACAAATTTAATTCGTACAGGACGCTAATGAAAATAATTTGCTTTCCTTTTTATCATGAACTTCTACAAAAGTTAATTTAACTAAGAAACTTTCGCAAACAATGCATAGGAAAGACTTGAACATCAAGAACAAAGCTAGTCTATATTATTAAATACAAAGTCATACATAAACAATAAGTCAATTGAAGCAAACTTGCCCTATACTTTTAGGATTTATAATACAATATCAATTCTTATCAATGTTTACGTTTAAAAATTGCAAAAAAGTTGTACAATTTGTTATGTTAAACGATTTTCCAAGCTTTCTTACATGTATTTTTTTATATTTTTGCCTTCTTCACTCCTGGCAAACAGCCATATTCTGAGATCAGTGATGACCACCCACTCAACACCCTTGGCATAGATTATAGATCATACCAGATGTCTCACTGTGTATCTATCCCTATGATTTCTGTGTCCGCGATTTTCGCGAGGCTATCACGCCAGATGACGCGTGCGACACTTACTGCCAAAATGGCGCTTACTGCCAAAATGCGTGATTGCTCACGTTTCATGCCGTGGATTACACTTACTGCCAAAATGGCGGCCAACGCGTGCTCATAAAAAATCGCGGACACAATTTTGGCTGAGTGAGACATCTGGTATAATCTATCATCTGTGCCGTTGGTGCATGAGCGCCCGCGATAATTGATGAACTTTAGACTTCGCTAATGCTTTCGTTTCCCCGGGTGTAAATAGCCGGGGGGAATTAGTACCCTCGCACGGCCGTCGTCGCCGCCGTCGGCTCGGGCATTAAGTTCGACTCATGAAAAGCACGGCGTCTAAACCGGGCCTAACTATTAATAGGGAATGTTGTTGCATAAATTTTATATTGATATTACATCAATATGCTTCTCATAAAGCAGTTATCTATTAAAACTACGTTGTGTAGTTTAAGTTATACTAAACCTTTTACCTTGAAATTGTCTTTGACTTTGGCTCGTTTATATTCAGATTCAGTATAATTATTATGATCGTGCACGGGAATTCAAAGATCCAAATTTCTCATTTTCAGAGTCGTGCACCAAGAACAATGCATTAACTAAACTAGCAAGAATGTCCAGAGTTAGACACAATGCAAAATCTATACAAAACAGGTACAATTTGAAACATTTTGTCCATTTCACGAAAGGCCGCCATTTTCAAAAGGATAAATTGGGTTTTATTAGGCAGCTCATTATTCTATTTTGTGGCTATATATCGATCGCAATCCACCTACCTCCTCCGCGGGCCTTTTCCAGGCAAATATGCGGGCGGTGCAAATTTGCGGGCCACTTTTAGAAACGTAAAGCGACAGACGAAGAACCTGCCATATAACGTGTCGAAAATCGGCCAATATGTGTCGAAAATCGGGAATCCAAAAAAATCCCTTTGAAATTTCGTCCATCATTAGTTCAAATTAATTTCTCACGTAAGCTGGGTTAATTCTGGACTTGCTGACAAAAAATCAAATGGAAATACGGCAAATAAAGAAAGAAATCGATATACGACCGACGTCCTATTTAGACGCGAATGTAGAAAATACAGATAAATATTATTTAAGTTTAAAGTGCACCAAGATCTGCTGTTCATCCACATCCGAGTGATCCGACCATCCGACATAACGTCTTTTATCTTCTGATTTGTTTCGAATTACATTCTGAAGATATTTGATCCGCTGAAACATGAAACGGTATTTTTGGCCATATGTTGTGCTCGTCGCTCGACGGCAGCGATGTGGATACTCTCAATATCATCGACATATCGTTTTCTGAAATGGACCAGAGGAGGTTGGGTGACTATACCGGCAAGCATTGCGGTCAGGCACATTTTGTTACATATTATCGATTTCTCGGCAGTGCACGTCATTGTTCGGTAGCCTTTCGCGGAAGTCAGAACTGGAGAAGTATTTCAATATTGCAACTAAAATGGCAAGTTTTTGCTGCATTCGAGGGAAGAATGTTTCAATATTGCATGGACAAGAGCTTCTGTTTGTTCATTGTGCGAATGCGTGTCTAAAGAAACTTTAATCTATACCGTGTGTCGAACTTGAATGCCGTGAGAATGTGCCAATAGCGCTATGTCCATCGGTTGTTTACTTGTTTATAATGGAAATATTTGAAAGAAAGTCTACGGAATGTTCGCTGAATGCAGTCCTGCATTGATAGAAATACAATTCGAGCTGCATTTGTACGGTAAGATGATTTAGATGCACGTTGTTTACTTTAGTTCATTGTGTTGTCTAATTTATAAAAGTTTGTGCATCAAATACTTGAATGAGTTGAATCCTTTGAAAATGTTGACATGATTATAAATATACGTACATCTCATGTTTTCAATAGAGGAATTTTGACTATGTTAGTTTTATTTAGCTGGGGGAGAATATTTGATCGAGGACTGGAAAATTAATTCATGTCAGTTAACTCCATTAAGGTGCAATGTACCTGATACTGTATAAATGCAACCTACTTTATTATTTTATTCTGCCTAACACCAGGCAATGTTATTTGTAGTTTAGGACCTGTATATGAGTTTGTATGCGATTCATTTAGGACAGGTAATCTCAACTGTTTTAGGGTAAAATGACCATGGCGGTCAACATGGCATATGTGCGAAAACCTGAATCCGGGACGAAAGTCCTGAAAATGACCCCGCCCTGAAACGGCAGTGTCGACATAGCTCTAACTTCCGAAAAGGAAAAGCGATAGCCTTTCTGAAGTGCTTATAGTGTTTAGAAGGGTTGCTTTTAGGGGTGGTCATTGGAAGGAAAAATTTGTCTAAGTATAATATTTTACCAGAAAATGACTATGCACCACCCCAGGTAAATTGCTGATTATGCACAAAATAACTAATATGCCTGGCAGAAATTAAATATTCTTATTTCCTAAAAAAAATTATCATGGGGTGAAAAACTATGCTTAATTTAATATAAATATTGTTGATTTCATAAGGATTGTTATTGTTTTCTTTAAATATAATACATTTTATTTCACTTACCCCCCCACGAAAACACGATTTCAGCCATATTTTGCCGTCTTGTTTGCTTTTTATCGCCGAATCTCGCAAATATCATCCAGTTATTGTACTTTTACATAATCATAAATGGCTGAAGAAGATTTCAAAGAAGGTTTCATCCACTTTTGTAACAGTGCAGTGTATTTTACCTTCGATATTGTGTCCTTCGATATTCCGCCAAATTGCCGCCATTTTAATGGCTCGCCGCTTCTCTGTCTGATAAATGCAACTTCTTCGTTTCCATATGTATTTAGATTACAGTATCCAAGAGTACTTCATTGTAGAATAGACCCAATCCAAAAATTGGCAACATTTGTCCCATTAGGAAGGAAAAATCCTCCCGTATACCATTTAGGTTCAAAATAAAAACAAATCATTTGAAAGTCACGCGCAATCTTCGCGAAAACTTCTCGTGGACACATGACAGGGGGGGTTGAATATTTTCACGAATATGTTCGCCACCACAGAAACATAACTAAATATATTGTATTTATTGTATTTTTATGATTTATAATAAAAACAATAAATATTTGCGTAGTTTTGTCATAAATCATAAAAATACAATATATTTAGTTATGTTTCTGTGTTGGCGAACATATTCGTGAAAATATTAACCCCCCCCTGTCATGTGTCCACGAGAAGTTTTCGCGA